AAGGCACTTGCTCAAAGTCACACAGGTGGAAAGTAACAAAAGTGAGATTTGAAACCATGTCCTTTGCTTGTAGACAGCTCTATCTATCTGTGTTATGCTCATATAGATGAGATTATATGCAACAGCAAAAATGTGGAAAACCAGTACTTTTTCTAAATTCTGGAAAGAGCCCAAAAGAGAATTTTAAGAGTCTGAAGGAAGCCAAGGGGAGAGAATTGGAGAACACCAATGTCCCATAACAGAGAAATGAAGAATACCCATGACTCACAATGAATGGCATACTCACAAGCGTATAGCTCAAGGAATCCGTCAGGCTGCCTGGAGCTGTTATTCTTCTGGACATATTGCCACTTATTTTCATAGCCAACAAAAAATCCAAATAAAATGATCATGGAAAGCTGCAAGCATATGGCCACAATTGGGAATTTGAACCTCATGTTGGTATCAAAGGACAGTGGCATACTAAGAGCCTCAAGGACTGCAGGAGCTTGATAAAGAAAAAGAGGGCTGCTCTTTGGGTTGAGCTAGTCTGCATGTTCAGGACATCCCAATGACATGGCAAGAAAAAAAATAGAATAAGTAAGACCAGTTTAGGTGTCCCACCCACTAAGGAGGAGCCCATTTCTGTAATCTGATTCTTGTTCCAAACACTGATGTTCAGTCTATGCAATATGAACTGAAAGAAGACACACGATGATAAAAATGTTCTTTTTCACAGGTATATTAAAGACGCTAGCAGATGTTGACAGACTGGGTTATAAGGGGAAAAACTGTTCTGTCATGCAATGTACTAATTTCATTTGTAAATAAAATGCTAATGATTTTTCTTAATCATTTTTATGATTTATAAAAAAGAAAATGACCTTGATTACACAAGCCATTATTCATGATCTGGAAATTATAGCGTCAGCTTAGAGGGGGGAGTTATAGAGCTAAGCAATGTCTAGACTAACGGGTAGTATAAAGAACATGGGACAAAGTGCCAAATCATTCAACATCACCATTACAATTCCTGGATCTAACCTGGAATTGTTCTCATGGTGTGGAGGAGGCCTGAATCTTGTGAGAAAGTCAACACTGGCACTTCAAAACAAGTTCTGGCATGAAGCAATCCTTCTAAATGAGATAGCCCTGTTTTCCAAGGATTCCATTAAGGAAGGAAATGAGGGACCGTTAAGAATTACTATAGTTGGGGGGAACTAGGTGGCACAGTGGGTAGAGCCCCAGCCTTGGAGTCAGGAGGACTTGAGCTCAAATCTGGCCACAAACACATGATACTTACTAGCTTTGTAATCCTGGACAAGTCACTTAACCCTAATTGCCTCACTAGAAAGGCAAAAGAAAAAAAAAAGAATAGCTATAGTCCAAGAATGCAATAAGAGTTTAAGAAATGTTTGTCAAATGAATGTTGAGTAGGCATCCATGCATAACAACTTATAATAGATAGTAATGAGTTTTCTTATAGGACTGGCAATTTCTATTTATGACAAAAAAACAAAGGCAGTTAGGTTGCTCAGTGGATAGAGCTTTGGGTTTGGAGTGAGGAAGATCTGAGTCCAAATCTAGTCTTAGACACTTACTATCTGTGTAATCCTGGGCAAGTCACAACCTTTATTTGCCTCAGTTTCCTCATGTATAAAATGGGGATGATAATAATATCACCTCTTTCCCAGAGTTGTTGTAAAGTTCAAATAAAATATATTTGTAAAGTGCTGAGTACAGTGTCTGGCATATGCTAAGCACTATATAAGTCTTAATATTACTAGAAAACCTCAATTAAATGAAATAAATATATATTTAGTGACTACTATGACAGAATCAGACAGATATAAGTATAAGCAAGAATACACAAATACACATGATGTTTTGAATTTTAGGCTTCCTAGTGACAAAAACAAAACAGAGCATGGGACTATAAATAAAATCAGCAAATTTGTACATGTAAAAAATTTCTCTTGTTAACCTAAATTTATGTTATCAGATAGACATGGGCAGCAAGTTCCACCTCTGACACTAACTAGCTATATGACCATGGGTAATCTACCTAATGTCCCTGAGCCTTAGTCAGCCCAGCTTCCTAAGATTCTCTAAGTTATAGATCTATGGGCTATGATCTATGTGTAGTTGAAAGGTGTTCCTATACTAATAAAATCACAGGTCATTGATGTAACATGTTTACATAAATCAAATCACGAAGATATCAGGAGCTTCTAAACAACCTGCAATTGAGCACTGTGGTTTTAGGTACTCAATAATGAAAGCTCACATTAATATTATACTTTCTGCATAAAAAAAACTTTAGTCATTAATTCTATTTTATAGATGAGGATCTTGAAGTTCAAAGACACATAGCCAGGTCCTGAACAACAGTTTTCTGAATTCAAGTACATTGCAGTTTTTAATACCATACTACCTTCTCACTACATGTTAGCATCTGATGATTCATTTTCTTTATGTCATACTAGTAGCTCATTGGCCATTCCAAGGTTGCCAACAACTCAAAGGCAGAACATTCTGCACCTCTAGGTGTCCGAATTATGAATCTCTAGACAGCTTAGGAATGAGCCTCAGGAACCTCTTATTCCACGGTGGTAATCTAGATTTCTTCTCTTTTCTCATAGGAACCACCAAGGATCTTATCACTAGACTGTATTGAGGAGTCATTAGCATACCTGGGTATACTCTGGGATTTGAGAAGTCCTCTCAATTTCTCTCTCTCTCTCTCTCTCTCTCTCTCTCTCTCTCTCTCTCTCTCTCTCACGTATATATTCACAAATGTATATCCACACATATATGTGTGCAAACATATATATGTAATTTTTGGGTATACTTTATTTTTAATATCACCTTCCCTTCCCTTTAGAGGACCTCTTTAATAATCTATTTTTTAAAATCATTCAGCAAAATTTACACAGTAGCTGACTTTAATAGTATATGTGGTATACCGCACCCATAGTCTTCACATCTGCAAATAGGAGAAAGTACATTCTCATACCTCTCCTTTGGGGCCAAGCTTGGCAATATAATTACATAATATTTTTTTCTCTGTCCAATTACATTGTAGTAGTCATTGTGTATATCATTTTACTGTTCCTGCTTAGTGTAATTGACATCAGTTCATTTGTCTTCCCATGGTTCTCTATATTCTTAATGTTCAGCATGTCTTATAGCATAGTGATATTCCATTACATTCATGTAGTACAACTGATTTTTTATTGCCATTTCCCATTCAATAGGCATCTACTTTGTTTCTAGTTATTTACTACTATAAAAAAAGTGTTGATATAAACACTTTGGTGTATAGAAGACATTTCTTCCTATCTTTGGTTTCTTGGATTATATTTTTAGCAGTAGGATCTTTTGGTGACAGAATATTGATTTTTTGGGTCATTTTCTTTCTAAAATTCCAAATGGAAGCATTCAAATTAAAGAGGAGGATTTATATAAATATCCATATATATGTAATATAAATAATTAGAAATAAATCTTGAATATCTTTTATTTTTTATTCATCACTATTATTTATTTTTACACTAGAATTTTGCACACACTTCACTCATTCCAATATTTTCAAATACTTTCCTTTCTGTATCAAGGTCAGGTTCCTTGTCATCACCACATCCTTCTTGGTTAAATAAGGCCAAAAAAAAATATCCCACACAAAAAGTTTGACTGTAGTGTTGATTTTTAAAAAAAGGCTAAACACTACGATGCTTCTTTTGTCCTTGAAAAATATTCTTTTAGTATTGTTGTATATGGCAGTGTCCAAAAAAGCTTTTATCTGAGTTGCTTGCTCTGTGTTGAAACAAACTCACAACTTTATGGTCATAAGCACCCTACTCAGTCATGAAAAATATTTTCATATGGCCAGGTAGCATCAGATAGAACTGAAAGACTTAATTTGATTCAATTCAAGAAGTCTTTGTTAAGTGCTTCCTTAATGTCAATGTAAGGTACTGTTCCAGGCACTAGGAATGTAAAGCCCCTTTCTGGGACCAATTGATGCCTTACTTAGTTAGGATGCCTGATATGCCTAAGCCCTACTGCAACTCAGAACTCCTCAACTCAAGTGATCCACCAGTCTCAGCTGGTAGCAGGGATTATATGCATGTTCCACCATGCCTAGATGCATGGGATATTCTCCATAACTGTGGAGAACACCTTTGGTGAATGTGTCTCCATGTTTTGTTCCTTGCTTAACATTTGATGCCAGAGGATCATTGAATAAAATTATCTCTGTTGTGGAATCTATCAAGGAATCTTAAATCATCTTACCAAGAGAAGTTGGTGCTGGGTAGGTAAATTAGAGAATCATCAGTATAGAGATGATAATTAAATCCAGGGGGGCCAAAGTGAAATAGTATAGAAGGAGAAGAGGGCCCCGGCTAGAGCCCTGTGGAAAACCCAGAGTTAGTGGACATGACCTGAATGATGAGCACCAAAAGAAACTGAAAAGAGGTGGTTAGATAGGTAGAAGAAAAACCAGAAGAGAGTAGTGTCAAGAAAACCTATAGAGATCTTTTTGGAGGAGTCAAATGCTGTTAACATAGCAGTAATTGACATTTATATAACATGAAAATTTTATTTGGGCAAAGGAAATTTGTCCCACTGACAACAAAGAAAGGATGCTAGAAAAGTACCCACTCTTCCAACAAGGGGAACAGCTGGAACCTCCAAAAAGGGGGCAAGACAGGGAAGGTATGCAACAAAATATTTTGATGGAGGCTTGGTCTTATGAGAGTCTACTGCCAGGTTTTGAAATATTTTTATACCAAGCTTATCCTAGTTCAATAGATGAGATTCCAGTTGCAACCTATCTTTCCAGCTTTATTATCCATGTAACAGGGTATTGGCCAATAGGGGCCCAGTCCTTCGATGATGTACTATCTTTTCTGCCTGATGCCAATCCATATAGAAGCTTGGGAAGCCTGCTTTAAGAAATATGTGATAGTGCATGATAGTTTCTTCTGTCTTTTTGTTTTTATTCTTTCTAATACTAGATAAATGAGTAGCAGAGATGGAATGAACTTGAGAACTTTAAAAGGTTGGAATAGCCACCAGCTCTCCACAAATGGTCACGTATAGCAGAGTGTCCGGTATACACAGAAGCCTAGCTCTTGACAGCAGCCTGCTTGAAGCAACCCATCAGTGGATTAATCAAGAAGCTGAGATATAGTGTCCTGAAAGCAAGGAGAAAACTTGTCTATTGGCCATGGCAACCTCAACAGTGAACTTGGTAGGATGAATGCTTCTTAGCTACCACTTTAAGTTTGAACCCAGTGAACTCCAGTGACTAAGGTGGTAGAAGAGATTGTGTCCTGGTTCCAGAAATGTTTTTGTATTTTGGTTCTTACTGTATCCTTTAGCAAATATCCCCCTGTAAAACTAAATTATCTTTATTGTTTATCAATGATATGATTAAATATCAACTGGTCAAAATTATAATAGGTGCTAAGTAATGGTTGGATGATATTCGGGAGATGTTAACTTGTTGAATAATTTTGGGAGCATAGATTGAATGAAGGTTGATGAGAAATAATATTAGAGAAGTCCACAATCCCATGGGGTACCCCTAGAATCCTGAGGGAGGAGGAAACAATAACCTTGCTCTGGGGTCCTGACCTGCTTGTGAGAGTAGCTCCACGGTCTATGTGTTCTACATGTATTACTCCCCTTCCTGTATACTTTGGTCCAGTCAAACTATACTTCTTCTTCATATGCTGTGCATTTTGAGCTTTTTTTCTATAATGTTTAGGATGTACTTTTACCTCACCTCCACTTTTTAGAACTCCAAGTCTCCTTTAAAACTCAGCTCAAGCTCCCATTTGTGGATGAAGCTTTCCTTAGCACACAGCTACTAGTGCCTCCACCCACCAAATTACCATATCCTTATTTTGTATATCCTTATTTGTGTACATATTGCCTCAGCCATAGAATGTAAGCTCCTTGAGGGCAAAGGGTGTTTGATTTGATTTTGAACTGAGTACAGTGCTTGACACACAGTAGGTGCTTCCTAAATGCCTATTAATTGATTGAATGTATCCAGCAGCTCAAGGATCCTAAAGAAGACTGGGTGTTTTTATAGAGAGGGGTTGTGATCTAGCCCCATGTACATTGGATAGATTTCCCAACTCTGGTGTTATATGAAAGGAAGCTGAATGGGAGATGAAGCATGAAAAGTTCCTGGCAGATTCTAGAAGAGGGCAAGAATAAGAGATGAGAAGAGGGAGCCTATCTAAATTCTGTCACAAAGAAGAATGATGCCCCAGCCCAAAGTTTTTTTTTTTCCAGACTATCACACTTCACACATAACAAATGTGATAGGATTTTTAATTTTTTTGTAGTCATCCTGGACTGAGCACTCTCATTCAGAATACTGATAGCTTGGGGTCATAGATAATCTAAAATTCTACAACTTTAACATCATCTTCCCTTCTGCCTTTCTTTCACTGCTGCTATATATGGGATAAATTTAAAATAATCAACAGAAGAAAAATAGAAAAATTAAGGAGAGCAGGAAAGGCGTCCTGTAGATGAGATTTTAGTTGGGATTTAAAGAAGCCAGATGATGAGTGAGAGAATTATTGGCACAGGGACAGCTAGTGAATATATTCAGAATCAAAAGATGGAGTGTCTTGTTTGAAGAATGTCAAGGACCCCAGTGTCATTGGATTACAGAGTGTGTGGAGGGGGGAGGGGCTATAAGATATAAAATAGGAGGGACAGATTATGAAGGACTTTGAATGTTAAGCAGATTTTCTATTTGATCCTGGAGGTGATAGGGAGATATTGGAGCTTATTGAATGTTTGTGTGATTAACATGGTCAGACCTGTGCTTTAGGAAGATCACTTTTACAGTTGAGTGGAGGATGGACTTGAATGAGGAGAAACTTGTGGCAGGTGGACCAACCAGCAGCTATTTCAGTAGTCTAGAAGTGAGGTAATAAGAGCCTGTACCAGGGTGGTGGCAGTGTCCAGGGAAAGAAGAAGACATATTGGGAGATGTTATGAAGGTAAAATTATAGGCTTTGGCAACAGATGGAATATGGAGGGTAAGAAAGAGTAAAGAGTCAAGGATGATACCTAAGTTTGTGATCCTATGTGACTGGAAGGATGGTGGTACCTTCATCAGTAAAAAGGAAATAAGGAAGAGGAGAGGATTGTGGGGGGGAAATAGTGAGTTCAGTTTTGGACATGTTGAGTTTAATACATCAATGGGATATCCAGTTTAAGATGTCCAATAGGCAGTTGGAAATGCAAGATGGAGATGAGGAGAGAAGTTGGTGCTGGGTAGGTGAATTTGAGAATCATCAGTATAGAGATGATAATTAAATCCAGGGGGGCCAAAGTGAAATAATATAGAAGGAGAAGAGGGCCCCGGCTAGAGCCCTGTGGAAAACCCAGAGTTAGTGGACAGGACCTGAATGATGAACCATCAAAAGAAACTGAAAAGAAGTGGTTAGATAGGTAGAAGAAAAACCAGAAGAGAGTAGTGTCAAGAAAAACTATAGAGAAGACAGTAATAGCAAAAGAGGGTGATCAACAGTGTCAAAGGCTGCAGAGGTCAAGAAGGATGAGGATTAGAAAGTCCATGAGATTTGACAATTAAGAGATTACCAGCAACTTTGGAGAGAGCAATTTCAGTTGAATTATAAGGTCAGAAATAAAACTAAAGAGAATTAAGAAGAGAGTGAGAGGAAAACAAGTGGAGGCATCTGTTCTAGACACCTTCTCAAGGAGTTTAGCCACAAATGGAAGGAGAAAAATGAAATGATCACTAGCAGTAATGGATGAATTACGAGGATTATTTATCTGTTTGTTTGTTTTTGTTTTTATTTCCCCCCTACTTAATTGTATTTTGTTTTTTCCAATTACATGTAAATATAGTTTTCAACATTCATTTTTATAAAATTTTGAGTTCCAAATTTTTTTCTCCCTCCCTTCCCTCCCCCTCCCAAACACAACATACAATCTGATACAGACAATACATGTACAATCACATTAAATGTATTTCCACATTGGTCATGTTGTGAAAGAAGAATCAGAACAAAAGGGGAGAACCATGAGAAAGAAAAAAAATGAAAATAATATGCTTAAATCTCATTCAGACTCCATAGTTCTTTCTCTGGATGTGGATAGCATTTTCCATCATGAATTTTTTGGAACTATCTTGGATTGTTGTATTGCTGAGAAGAGCTAAGTCTATAATAGTTGATCACTGCACAGCGTTGCTGTAATTGTGTAATTCTTGGTTCTGCTCACTTCACACAGCATCAGTTCACGTAACGCTTTCCAGGTTTTTCTGAAATCTGCCTGCTCATCATTTCTTATAGAACAATAGTATTCCATTACATTCATATACCACAACTTATTCAACCATTTCCCTATTGATGGGCATCCCCTCAATCGCCAATTCTTTGCCACCCCAAAAAGAGCTGCTATATATATTTGTTCATGTGGGCCTTTCTCCCTTTACCCCTTTTTATAATCTCTTTGGGCTACAGACCTGGATCAAAAGGTATGCACAATTTTATGGCCCTTTGGGCATAGTTCCAAATAGCTCTCCAGAATGGTTGGATCAGTTCAAAACTCCACCAACAATGTATTAGTGTTTCAATTTTCCCACATCTTCTCCAACATTTATCATTTTCCTTTTTTGTCATATTAGCCAATCTGATAGGTGTGAGGTGGTACCTCAGAATTGTTTTAATTTGCATTTCTCTAATCAATAGTGATTTAAAGCCTTTTTCATATGACTACAGACAGCTTTAACTTCTTTATCTGAAAAGTGCCTGTTCTTATCCTTTGACCATTTATCATTTGGGGAATGCCTTGTATTATAAATTTGACTCAGTTCTCTATATATTTTAGAAATGAGGTCTTTCTCAGAGACACTGGCTTTAAAATTACTTCCTTGCTTTCTGCTTCACTTCCAATCTTGGTTGCATTGGCTTTGTGCAAAACCTTTTAAATTTAATGTAATCAAAATGATCCATTTTGCATTTCATAATGTTCCCTATCTCTTGTTTGGTCATAAACTCTTCCCTTCTCCATGGATCTAACAGGTAAACTATTCCTTGATCTCCTAATTTGCCTATGGTATCACCCTTTACATCTAAATCATGTACCCATTTTGACCTTATCTTGATATACAGTGTAAGATATTGGTCTAAGTTTTTGTCAAATAGTGAGTTCTTATCCCAGAAGCTGGAGTCTTTGGGTTTATCAACAGTAGATTACTATAGTCACTGGCTACTCTGTCTTGTGTACCTAACCTATTCCACTGATCTACCACTCTATTAGCCAGTGTCATATAGTTTTGATGATTGCTGCTTCATAATACAGTTCTAGATCTGGTATTGCTAGGCCACACATGAGGGTTGTTTTTTTTTTTAAAGATGAGGGAGACATGGGCAAGTTTATAGGCAGTAGGGAAGCAGCCAATAAATAAGGAGAGATTAAAGATAAATGGGTGGATAAGAATAGAAGGTGGATAAGGATAGAAGAGGAAATCTGCTGGCAAAGATAGGAAGAAATGGAATTACCTGTAGTTGTGCACGTAAAGGTCAAGGAGTAGGACCACTTAATTATGTGAGATTGTTTGAAGGTGGAGAGTGACAGAAGTCATCTTGGTGATGTTAGATGAGGAGGAGGGGAAAATAAGGATCTCTCAGCTGTTGGTCTTAATGTTTTCAGAGAAATATGAGGCAACGTTTTCAGCTGAGAGGGTGAGGTGAAGTTGAGACATGACAGGTTTAAGGAGGAATAAAAAGGTTTAGAAGTGCCACTGTGGTGAAAGGGATAGTGGATTAATTAAGGAGGTATAAAGAGATATAAAAGAATTGTCTTGCAGCAAGGAAAGCCCAGTTGATGCTATGTAACATAAACTGGTAGTGAATCCTGTCAGCACTGGGTTCTTCAACCTTATTCAGCAGTACATATGTAGAAGTGAAGGAAATAAATTATGGGAGTAATCTAAGGTTGAGGCATAACTTCCCATCTTGATTGAAACTGATCTTTCCTTCCTTCCTTCCTTCCTTCCTTCCTTCCTTCCTTCCTTCCTTCCTTCCTTCCTTCCTTCCTTCCTTCCTTCCTTCCTTCCTTCCTTTTTTTTTTTCAACTTGAACACACCTGTTAATTCAGGATTGGGGATAGGGGCCAAGGATGGCATATGGAAGAAGTGGAATCAAGCAGGTTTTGGAGTAGAAATTTAGATATCAAGGTTAAGTCAAGAAGTCAGAGTTGGAGAGGGGGAGGCAGCTCCAGGCTCAGGAGGATCGGTCTCAAAGTACCGGTCCAGCAGCGTCTCCACTTCGTTCTCTTCATAATCCCACACCTGGAATCGTGTTCCATCAGCTGCACCCCGGATCATGGCTGAGAGCACTCGGCCAGACTGAGGGCGAAACAGGCACAGAATTCTCTTGTTGAGGGCCATGGCTCGGCCCAGC